CACAAATGAGCCAGATGTACTTTCACCATCTCGCTGGTCTCCTAGACCTTGAAGTAAATCTCCGCTCTCGAAATCCACCCAGCCGGATCCTCACCCGTGAATGCTGGTAATTCAATCCTTTTTACTGATTGTTGAAACTCCGCCAAAGCCTCCCCTTCTAGGGCTGTAAGACTCGCTCCACCCTTGGTATTTTCCTTAGTCTCTATTTTTTTGTTTCCCACAAAACCTTCACCCTCTTCATATCTTCTCTTTTCAAAACTCCTCGTCATCAACTCCATCATTTTTGTTTGATTTTCTGCCGCTTCTTTTCTCATCTCTTCTAGTGCTGAATGATTTTGAGTTGCTTGCAGATGCAACTCTTCCATGATCGCTTTCATTCGAATAACTTCTTCTTCTACATACCCTACCCTCTCCTCCATTTTTCGTGAAACCACTGGTTCTCCTTGTTTTCTGCTGTTTGCTCGAGTGTTAACCATTCACCCTCTCATGAAGTTATCCGGCAGGTTGGACCAGAAATGTTAGGAAACCACAGAACAAGTAATGAAATAAGAGGAAAAAATAATATAAGAAAGGATCATAGATCCTGTTTCATTGAAATTAAGGCCAAAAACAGAAGGAATAACCTACTATCCAGAGCTAGGCTCCTTAAGAGACCAAAACGGTACTCTCCACTCTCTATTTCATTCAACAACCCCCCAATCCCCTCCCCACACACATTGCCCTGCCAATATAAAGGTAATAACGAAAAAGTAAATCTTCCTAGGATCCTCCAATTCTCTCTCTAACTAATTTTGTCCACCTCAGCCCCTTTATTTTGTTTTCTCCTGCTATAAACTTGTCCCCATTTCTTTTGCTCTTTTGTTTCTTTGTCCAATATATTGTTTGGCCCAACAGATATTTGGGCTGTATGACATAGTTATTGTGGCCTTTAATGATACTTAACCTGCATAACTGAATGATATGTTTTAATTTGAACACTGTGATGCATTGTGTGTTATACATGAAGTAACATGCTACTTGGAAAATGTATATAAACTTGATAAATCATTGTGGTGAATGGTAATCGAAATGAATGATCTTTGTGGACTGAAATATCTCGAAGAAAACCTTACTTAAGTTGTAGATGCATGTTAACCCTGCGAGAGTTATGATTTCATAATTGTCACACTGTTTTTCTCTATACTTTAACTGATTAAAGATTGATTGATTAAAAAATCTGGTTTCGGGACATGTCAATTTAAGGATTCAAAGGTAATGAGTGAAGGTTTATGATTATGTATGTCTTGGGGAAGTAGGGTTGACACTGAATTAAGCTCTATACTAAACTAATAAGGGTTGACATGGTAGAATAGGTTGTTGTTAACTTTATATTTGTCATTATCATTACTGGCTTTGTTTGGGTGCTTTATTTGTTACCATATCCGTGAATTTGTTGGAGTTTAATTAGGCTTATTAGGTGTTATTATGTGGTTTGTATGATGGGGAAAATGGGGTTAAAGGTGATGTAATCAAATCACAATACTAGCTAAATTTTGGATCCACAAACTGCTGCAGAATGAGTATTATCTGATTCTCTAATACTGCCACTTAATGTTTATCACTAAGAATTGGTTTTTGTGATATATTATGTTATAGTTGCTACAAAATTCCAGTTCTAGTCTGTATAAATCTGTTAGGCTCTGGTTTAAAGTTGTTTAAAATATCCTGGTTGTTTGATCAATTATATTGTCATGCTGATGTGTAGTGCATTCTATCATTCCTTTGAAACATATGTGTAAGTATTATTACACTGAATGATCATATTTGTGATTGTGTACTTATGTATATTGCCTCTGTACATGCATTATAGATTTGTGCATTTCATTAGGATGTTTTTTCGATGCTTGAGTGGCTTTGTTTTAGGTTGATTGAAAAGTGATAAAATCTTGTTGTCTTGTAGACTGCACATTCTGCATTAAAAATGTATTGTATGAACGTGAATCACTCTGTATCTAGCTGCTGGAACTTGTATTTGATGAGGAATCATATGCGAACATGCTTAATTTTGGTTTGGACTCTGTTTGGGCTAATTAGAGTTTCCCGCGATTAATATTTACTATGGGTGGTTACATGCTAGACTTAAGAGTCTTATATTGAACAACTTTCTAGTGTACTCATGTTCGTGTATGTTAATAAGTGTATAATGTTTTGGTAAGGTAAGGGTTAAATATTACCTAGACAAGTGAATTAATCAATGTCTAAAGAAAATTGCATGTTCAAAACTGATCTAGATAGGAAGAAGTAAAGAAAAGTGTTTATGCTATGTAAATCCTGAGTTTGGAGCTTTCGACTGTGCGATATGGGAAGAGAGTGGAGTTCGAGCGTTGCATCCTTTTCGGCCGTGTAATGTGGGAAGAGGAGAATGATGTTTTGCTTAGAATCTAGCTCGTTTGCTGAGTATAGTACTTGGTGTGCGATGCACCAATGTTTTTACTCATAAGTCCTTGTGGAATAGGGAAACATGTCCTTTAGTTGTGAGGGCGAGACCACTCAAACCACCCTGTTTGGTATAACAAGTGTGTGAGGTGGGGTATAGGAGATAGATAGACTAATGTCTTTCATGTTCATGGTGAGGATCATGGTGATGTTCGTGGTGATGTTCATGGGGATGTTCATGTTGAGGTTTGTAATGAAGATGATGTTGAGGTTCATGTTGATGAGGATGATGTTGGAATTGGTATCGCGTAGCAGAATGTTTAAAAAGCGTGTTAAACGGACAATAACTAAGAGGGGAGGGGTGAATTGGTTCTTTTAAAATTTTGGTTTTCTTTTAGAACTTTTATCGAACAATTTATGAATAAAAGATGAAGGGATAGAGAAAATCACACAAATGATTTTATTTTGGTTCGAATCAAAAGATTCTACATCCAGTCGTTAATCATTATAAAAGAGTGATTAACTTTTTCACTAGAAATCAATTTCATATTACAATGAGAGTAATACAACAATTAAGAACAGAATAAACATTCCTTCGATACACGATGGAATGAATACCAGCTCAATCAACTTGTAGAGAACCGCTTGCACCTTTAGACACACTAACCACAAGCTTCTCCTTTCTCAAGACTTGATTAAGCTCACACTTAAACTAGAGAACTTCCTTAGAACAATTTTGTGCTCTCAAATGGTATAGGTATATACTAAAATAATTAGGAGTGTTCTATATATAAGCCATGGGTCAGAAAATGAAAAGACAACTCCCAACTACTAGTGATAATCAATTGTCACAAGTGATAATCGATTATTTCAAGCCGTTATGGGTTTTGTAAAACGTGATAATCGATTATCCTTAGTGATAATCGATTATTTCCGAACCCTGGACAATATCAAAACTTGTGGTGATAATCGATTATCCCCTATGATAATCGATTATTGCCGAGATGAACCGTTTTCCACTTTTGCTTTGGATAATCGATTATCCCCTATGATAATCAATTATTGCCGCAAGAAATCACTAAGTTATGAAACTTCTAAGTGTTTACAATTCAAAAATAACTCATACAAATGCTTTCTACAAAGAATGCTTTTAACATTTAAAGTATTGGACTCTTCAATTCCTCGGTCTTTAAGTTCATCATCATCAAAATCTCTTCAACGCATCAACGCTTCATATTGGAAACATATGACATTGATGACGAAGATCATGATATTGATGATGATGACCTTCACGACAATCATGGTGTTCGTGATGATGATTTTAATAAGGATAATGATGTAAATAAATGTTTTGTTATTATGTTGTGTTTATTTAACATTCATATATTGTGTTGTTATTGGTTGTTTTGACGGTAGCTTACCCATACTTGTTTGTGTTTATATTATGTTTTCGGCAATGATCGTATGACCTTTGTTATACGGGAGCAGAGGGTGTTGTAGATGTTTCAGATGTATGATTGAGTTGTAAGAGGATGAGGGAAGACTTGTGCTTATCTATAGTTCTTTATGCTATAAAATTTTGAAGCAATGTAATCAAATTCATTTTATTTCATTTCTTGTTTTCATTAATTTTGAAACTTTGTAATTGGACAATGGTGGGAAACAATTATGACTTTGATTATTTTTGCACAAGCTAAATAATGAAGTTTTATGAATACCATTTTTCGCATTGTATCGTATGTAATGTGGACCGAGCAGTCATGGAATAAGGCCGATCGGGCTATCCGCTGTTGGTCAACCTGGTCAAATGATTTTCATTGGTATTGGGCCTAGTTGGGCCTACAGCGATAACAAGCTACTTCAAATGGTAATTGGGCCAATAATCCAGCAGATAATAAAATAATGAAGGATATCTGGTTAGACATATTTGATAAACCAAATCTAAAATATTTGGTTGAAGATATTGAGAAAGTCGTTTATGAGTAACTAACCGGATCTCTAGGTAAGGTTGTTTTTATTTGACTTATGAAACACTTATAAATACAGGGCCAAGGCTAAAAGCCAGGTACGTTCCACTTACGCTTTACTTACACTCTACTACTCAAAATACTAAAAACAGTGCAAACCATTCACTGAGTATTTCATTAAGAGCTAAAGCTCTTCAATAACACGCCTAACTTGAGCGTCGAAATTCCTTTTGCAGGTACATCCTACCCATCAAGAAGGAGACCGATCGGTTCACGCCAATATCGAACGGTCAGTAAGAAGGAGACCGATCGGTTCACACTAATACCGAACGGTCAACAGCAGGAGATTGAAGGAAGACAGGCGATCCAGGCAGCCAAAGACAAGGAAGACACGTTGGAACAGGTTAGTCTCTCGGTCCCGAAAATATCTACCGAAACATTTTGGCGCCCATCGTGGGGCCGAGAGCAAGCAGAAGAAGCCTGATGGTAACCACAAGGAGTATGTCAGAACAACAAAGCACTAGAGGATTGATAGAGCAAGTGCAAGCGCAAATGCAAGCGCAAGCACTAACTCTGCAGGAGCAGATATAGGCTCAGATGCAAGCATAGACACAGACCATGCAAGAACAATTGCAAGCGCAAGCACAAGCTCAACAAGAGATGCAACGGAAACATGAAGAAGAAATAGCAATACTAAGAACCGGACGGTATAACCGACCACCATCTGAGCAGTTCTCAGTGTCGTCAGCCCACCGTGATCAAACTAACAACGGCAACCCGAACGACAACCCGAATGGTAACCAGAATGACAACCAGAATGGTAACCCAAACGGCAACCCGAACGACAACCAGAACGACAACCAGAATGGCAACCCGAACGGTAACCAGAATGGCAATCCAAACGGTAACCAGAATAATAAGCCGAACGGTAATCCAAATGGTGGCCCGCACGACAATTCCAGAGGAGAAGAGCCCATCGATTTACTGCCGTTCACGACAACAATCATGCAGGCTCCAATGCCCGAGAGAACTCCTCCAACAATGGAAAAGTAAGATGGGTCCACTGATCCAGATGATCACATCAGGGCATTCCTAAACTCAATGGCGTTTTACACAAGCAGTGACCCAGTTAAATGTCAAGTCTTTTCATTATCACTTACAGAAGAGGCACTATCGTGGTACAATACTCTTCCTCCCGGCACAATAGATTGTTTTGCCACTATAAAATCCCTCTTTAGGAGCCAATATGCATCCAGCCGGGTGCAAGACCTAACACTAGCAGAACTCGTCAATACCAAACAGGAGAAGGACGAATCTCTGCGAGCCTTCATGAAGAGATATAATGAAACCTCTCGGCAGATCAAGGACATTGGCCACACCTTAATCATCAACAATTTACCCTAATGCCTGAAAGCGAGATATTTCTCAAAAGACCTATATGTCGAACCTCCCAAAACTATGGAGGAACTCCATGAGAGAGTGGCAAAGTTTATTCGCATAGAAGACATAAGGCAGTCGCAGAAATAGAAGCAACAAGAGGTTACGGGTGGGAGTAAAAAGGAGGGAGAACGACCATTCCACAACAACGGGGACCATCCCATAAAAATTTCCCTCGCACTCCTTAGTTTAACCACTATACAGCCCTTAATGCACCCCGAACAAAGGTTCTAGAGGAAGCTTTTGCTATTGATTTAATCACACTCTTACGGAGATCTTCTCCCATAGACGCTAACGAAGGAAAAACCTGTCAGTATCATCTAAATAAGGGCCACACCACAGAAGAATGTACCACGTTAAAAAAATTGAGAGGCTCATCCAAGAGGGCCATCTACAGAAATTCATAAAGGAAAAGGAGACCAGGAGGAGAAGCCCAACCAAAGAAAGGTCGCGGCACAGGCATACCGAACGGTCTTATGAAAGACCCGAACGGTCTTATGAAAGATCTGAACGGTTCTCTGAAAGTACCAAACGGAAACGAAGGCACAGTCACAGTCATAGCCAAAGTCGCATTCGCGAACGCGACTGATCGATCATCAAGCAGATCAATACCATTTCCGGTAGTTTCGCTGGAGCATCCTCTTCAGCAAGGAAGAGACATCTGAGGAGCCTAAAGAACGTCCACATGGTGGATAGGAAACCTCGATCCATGCCACCCATCGTCTTCAATGATCAAGGTCATCACAGTCGAGATATCTCAGTGTCTTATTAGCAAGGTGCTGGTTGATAAGGGCAGCTCGTTCAACATCTTGTATTGGCAGACGTTCCTGAAAATGGACTTGTCCGAGGACATAATAGCCCCCTTCAATGAACAAATTGTAGGGTTTGCAGGAGAAAGGGTTGATACTTGAGAGTATTTATACTTGAGGACTCGGCTTGGAACAGGAAACCTCGATCGAGAACTCAAAGTCATATTCTTATTGGTAGAAGCAAATACTTCCTATAATGCATTGCTGGGGCACCCTTGCCTGAATGTGTTTGGAGCTATAGTGTCCACCCCTCACCTAACCATGAAGTTCCCATCAGAACGCGGAACCATATGTACCGTATGGGCGGACCAGCTAACCGCTCGGTAGTGCTATGTTGCAAGATTAAAACTCACACGTTTTGTCCCCAACGACAACCTAGAAGGCAAGAAACTGTTGTGATCGATCTGGACCCGCGATCTAACACAAATGACCGCATACAACCTTTGGGAGACACCAAGCCGCTTGTGCTTGGTAACAATGAGTCACAGGTGACATCCATAGGGGGAGCGATGGGAAAGACCGATGAGGAAAGATTGACGAAAGTCTTGAAAACCAATGCAAATCTGTTTGACTGGACGACTTCATACATGCCTGTGATTCATCTGAGTGTCATGACTCACAAGCTGGCTATATTCAGAGAAGCACGACCAGTTGCTCAAAAGAATCGAAGATTCTGTGAGGAAAAGAGAAACGCTATACAGGATGAAGTCACTAAACTCTTGAAGGTTGGGTTTATCAGGGAAATAACCTACACCACGTGGCTAGCCAACGTGGTTATGGTCAAAAAACGGCCAATGGAGGATGTGTGTGGACTTCACGGACCTAAACAAAGTCTGCCCCAAGTATTCATACCCCCTGCCAAGCATGGACCGTCTGGTAGATGGGGCCTTAGGGCATGCAGTGTTAAGTTTCTTGGATGCATATTCAGGATACAACCAAATTCCCATGTACGCACCAGATCAGGATAAAATGACATTCATAACCGAACAGTCCAACTAGTGTTACGAAGTGATGTCGTTCGGTCTGAAGAAACTAGGAGCCACATACCAGCGCCTAATGGACAAAATAATTTTAGAATGTTTTGGTTTTTTCACTACACCATCCACCCTTAAATTTGGGGTGTTATAAGAAACGACCATGACCCCAAAAACTATCATGTGAACTATAGTAATGTGAATAGCAACTCATGTTGTTCTGAAGAAGAAAGTTTTTCACAAATGTTTTTAAAAGAAATTCACAACTATGAATGAAAAGATTTTCACAAATGTTTTCCTTTTTTTGGTTGAGGATTTATAGAAAGAAACTAATAGCAAAGATGTTCAAAGTAGCTCCCGGGAAGGAAAGATGAGTCACAATGGACAAGGTGGGAAACCATGTCCTTCCTATATAGAGTTTCCTCATATTACCTTTACCAAAGCTTCTAGGTAAAACTCTTCCAAAACATAAATGTAAAATGTTGCTAAAAAAAAGAAAGGTTAATCTAACATGCAATAAAGTTACCTATATATCATGGAGAACTTTAAAAGGAAACAAAGCAAATAATATAAGGAATGTAAAATGTAAACAAGCTAATGATCCTAGGTGAAAGTGCAAGTGACACTTTGGAGCCCCTTAACACACTTTTAGTTCTAAAGTGGAATTAAAGCTATTACAAATATTTAGTTAAGGAGATGAGATTGCACCAAAGGCATTTTCCCAAGACACCAAAGCAAAGAAGCAAATGAACCAAAAATCACAAAGCAAATGAACCAAACAAGTACAAAGTTTCGTGATATAGCAATAAAAAATGCAAAACACTGTGAGCTTTTTATCTTTCTTCTTCAATGTTTATTCTCACTTCATTTCACTCCAAATGACTCTTTGTAGCCTCCATTTTCCAAGCCAATTAGGAGTATCTTCTAGCAAGCTTTTTCCACCTTTAAGATGCTACTTGAAAGGTAAGTTATACTCCAAAAAGAAGCATAATCCCAAGAAGTGTAAACCACTTAAGAGGTCAAGAAAAAGAAGCAACAAAAGGAAAATTTGAAAAGCTAAACTTAAATGGAGTATATATGATACAAGACGTATAAAATGCAAAGAAGAGACAAACTAGAAATAAGGCACAAAAATAAGTAAGTGTTAAGACAAAATCGTCTATGCGCCAAAACGCTCTCAAGTTTTGAAGTTTAACCAAATAACATTAAAATGGGATAATAATCTGAAAACAACTTAGGATGAAAACACAAGACCTAGAACCAAAATCCCCAACATAGAAAATCTTAGGAAAACACTTAGGTTCTTAGGAAATAGAAAAACATTTAGGTCAACACACCCAGACATTGTGCTAAACGGTTATTATGCCTAAAGTGTCTAAGAGAGTTAAAGATAAACGGTTAATGCTTATCATACCCAAAGGGTATTCAGTTTAGCTCTCGAAAACAAAACAATGTCTAGACGATTTCTTTGACAAAACACACTAAAAGATTAAAAGCATAAAAACATTAAAAGAAAACAAGCAAAGTTAAACGCTATCTGCCTAAAAAGACAAAATTACACGTGTTTACTTGCCTAAACGATACCATGAGCTAAAACAATACTTCATCAAATGATGAAGTCTTTACTCAAAGCTTTGTATCTTAAAGAGAAAAGCTTAATTGTCAAATGTTACCTTAACAGTAGGAAATCAAAAAGCACTTTGTTGTTATGAGCAAGCATTAAATAACATTAAATGCTTTATGTTCAAAAACAACAAAAGTGATAAGAAAACACATATCTGCTTCATGCACAATTTACTCTATTATTTTTAGATAAGCTATTCTACAAACATGCACAAAGCTTCAGATCAAAATATCAGAAGTGGACATTAGAGACAAAAGAGATATTCAGATCAAAATATCAGAAGCCATGCCTAAAAGGACGTACTACTTACTTCAAGCAAAGTACTGAAAAAGGTTGTCTACTCTCACAAGTTGACTTCTCCAATGATTGGTGTACATGAAGAAAGAGAAAGTAAAGGAATCAAGGCAGATGCTTAGTCTAACGGATATTTATTCAACAAGTCTTTAAATATAAGAACATTCAAAAGAAAAATCAAGAGGATAGTAAGAGAAAAACTTACAACGAAATTTTTATCCTTAGAAGCGTTCAAAAGAGAAGAAAAGAAAGAGCTCAAGAAAAGAATATATATGAGCAAAAGAGAAAAAGAGAAAAGAGAAGAGAAGAAGAGAAATGTTCTCAAGCTTCATTATTATATTGCTTACTGATTGTAAGAAAGAGACAAAGAGAAAAGAGAGAAACATTTGCGAGTGTTTAGACTACTTTGTATTATAATCATATCCTCTATGCGAGAGTAATAGTCTGAACAACTTATAAAAAATTGTTGATTGCAATTCTGGAGAGAATTAAAACACTTACAACTAAACTAAGATTGAGTTAAGGAAATCTAGGCAAGGTTGCTTAGTACAAAGAGTGATGTAAATACTCAAAGGAAATCTAGGCAAGGTTGCCTAGTACCAGGAGTGGTGCGAATACCCAAGGGAAATCTAGGCAAGGTTGCTTAGTCCAGAGTGGTGCGAATACTCAGTTGTAATCTTGTGGAGATTTTAGTGGAACCCTTTACGGAGGACATTGAACGTAACTTAGTTGGAATGAACCAGTATAAAAATAATTGTGCATCTATCTCTTCTCTTACCTAAAAGCTTCTCTTATAAAAACCTGTAGTTGTGTTTTTATTTCCAAATAAAAGAACCTTCTAAACTAAACGATTATTCTTCAACTAAGGAGGTTCTTATAAAACTCTGTAGTGTATATTCTGAGTAGCACGTAAAA